CGGTGAAACAAGAATGGAGGAGGAAGAGGAGCATGAGTTGGAGAAGAAAGAGTACGCGGAGGAGTTTAGGGCGCTTTGAAGTTTCTCCCGGGGCGCCAGCAGGACCCTGGGGGCTCTGGAAGCCGGGGGACGGCGACGACGACGATGGCGATGAGGCTGATGATGGACGGGGGTGGGGGGTGGGGCAGCACCAAAAGACGGAGATGGAAGAGGTGGGTGGGCGACGCACGCTCGGCACGATCTCGGTCATGCGAAAGGATTCCATCCACCACCGCGGAGTGGATGTTCGCACTGCCTCTGCCCCCACCGTGTCGATCTATGTTCCTCATGAGGTGGACAGAGTTTGGTTTCACAAAGCCTTTGCTAATATACAAGCGCCGGGCCACCCAGGACATCCACTCTTTCTCATAGGTGATGTCAACTGGAGGCCAGCTTGTTCGGCAGTAACGTCGGCGTGGTCCATGTGTCGCCCAGGTCCTGGAGCTGATCCATCTACGACGGCTGCCACCACTGCACCTACACGAGCGTCACACTGGGGCGGTGGAGCCCCCCCACGCAACTCACAACGCGGCTTCTACCTGGCATACCGCACCATGGCCTGGTCAGTTATGAGTTCGATCTACATTTCGTGGACGCACCTCCCACGCGTATGCGCCACACTGCTTCACATGTCCCGCTGCGGAAGTCCAACGACGCCGAGCGAGCTCTCGTGCAGGAGCTGGTGGATCAGGACTTCGGTCCCCCTGCGAGCTTCGAGTTCGGTGAGGGCGAGGTCTTGCACGAGCGAGCCGAACATGCTATGAATAATGGAGGACGACGATTAATAAATGACCGGGGGTCGAGTTCACGCGGCGGCGCCCGGGATGACGATTAGAACAAACCTGCCGCGGGCTGGAAACTATTTTTTAATCATTCTCCTCCAGTCCGAAAACTGTGCGGAAATGACAGAACACTATTTTTTCAATCGTTCTCCCCCGTTTTTTAATTAATCGTCATCCCGCACTATTGCTGTGGGGCGTGGTTGCACGACCACGGACCGCGCGGCGGAGCGAGGGAGAGGGCCGGCACCCTCTTCTCGAGAGCCACCTCACGCTCGCTGGCCTACCGGTTGGATCCGTCTATAGCTCCACGGCGTCTCCTTCGGCTTCAGATTCGGCTCGCTGGGGACCAGCCGGGGCGCTGAAGAAGGAACCTTTTTCGTTGGGGAGGGGCTCGGTGTTCCTTGATTGTTTCACAGCTTGTCTCAGGTTTTCCTTGTGTTTTCGATGGGAAAAGAGGGGCCTCGTTCCTTATTTGGGGTTCCTGAGGTCAAGGCCCCGACTGTACTGGTTGGATCCGTCTATGGCTCAACGGCGTCTCCTTCGGCTTCACATTCGGCTCGCGGAGGTACTCTCCGGCAGGGGACAACGCTGCACTTCAAGCGCCACTTCCAATGGGCAAGGGCTGCTCTGGACCTCCCCGGGCTGCTCCACCTGCCCGCAACAGGGTTGCAATGCTGCGCCGATGCCTTGGACTGCCTCTCCTCGGGTATTTCCAAGGAACAGCTACGGCTACAAGAGAATGCATCAAAGCAGTGGCGGCAGACATTTTCAGCATGGTCATCAGATATCTGGAAATACACTACGCCGATGTTCAATGGGGTCCTCGCCAGCACAGTCCACGACGGTCGACGAGGTGCGGACGCAGTCGAAGGCATACTGGGACCCACCAGACAACGACGACAGTGCCTACGTGACGGCTTGGCTTCAGCACGCAAGCTCGGTGATCTTTCCAAATGGTGCGCAGGCCCAGGACTGGGAGCCTACCTTCGAGCAGCTCACCGAGGCCATCCCGTTGCCAGAACGTAGCGAACCATTGCCCAGCTCGAATGGGCGCGGCCGGAATTCGCCACCATGCACGACGATGAAGGCTCACGGCCAGCCTTTTCACCCACGTGTTCTGGGCCTCGCAACAGAGAGCTTGTCCGACGCACCTCGACGACCAGGTGCGATCTCGGAGTCCTTGCCGCTGTCAAGCAGGGCCTCGATTATTTCGCCGACACTTGGCTTCTCTGAACCGAAGGCAAAGCCAAATGCGCGGAATGGCAAGGCGGGCTCCTCTGTAATTATCGGGTCGGGCGAAAGGGTGGGTTTGGGAAAGGGGGGGGTACGAAATTTGCTGCATGTACCTGGTTTCGGCCCCGCCGCCTGGCCCATTCCTCGATACATGGGCGCCTTCCGGCGCCGGGCGACGCCAGGAAAATCAGCTACGTGAGCTGATTCTCAAACTCCCCCTTTGCTATCCCCCCCTTTCGCCCGACCCGAAATTATCTCTGCGGTGGTGACCACGCTTGACAGAGCAAAGGCAACTGGCATTTCTGCAGACCCAACGCCCCTGCGCAGGGGGTGCGACCAAGAAGAAGAAACCAAGGAGCAAGCCGCCTGGGGACGCTCCTGCTGCACTCACCAGAGGACTGCCCTCAAGACCATGACCACCGAGCAAACATAACACGATCCCCCGC